AAATGCACCTCAATTCATTTTTCTTTTCCTTTTCTTTTTCCTTTTTCTTTTATCAAGGTTTGATAAAGATCCACCAAATGTTTAGGCGTACGACAGGTACACAAGCAATGCCCTGTCATGCCACACCTGTAACTTGTATCCATAATTTTTAGAAGATTTATTTTGTAAACCTTTTCCATTTTCTTGTGATGTTCCAGAATGATTCCATTTCTGGTGGAATGGCATGGTATTTTTATTTGAATATTTTTGAATATGTCCCCACGAATCTTATAATTATTTCTACCTCAGCCAGGTCCAAACTGTTAAGACCCAACCCCCACCTAAGGGATAAGAGAAGTGACCGGCCTGTAATCTGGGATTAACAAAGGCCTACTTAACAATAATACAGTAATAAGGGCTGGCGAAAGCCAATAAATAATAAAATGCAACGTCCAATGAGCTGTGAAGACCTACATGAATAAAAACGAGCCTTTATATGTTGACATATACAAATGAGTCGAAACCTTAAATTTATATACACGTAATCCACGACAAGCTTAAGTACCAAAACGAAAACAAAACCTAGGGATTTAATCCCAATAACAACAACTAATTCGATCCACAGTCATAATCAAATATAAAACTTGTCTCGGTATCACTCAAACCATTTATATGCAAAAACAAGAGGGTGAACTCTAAATCGCCCAAAAACCTTGGAGCTTGACCATTTGGAACCTTGCAGTGAGGCACAAGAGTTGTCTTGACAAAACAGGGATTAGGTCGATGCCACTAGTTCTAATCTTGAGTTTGGTTACCTACGTATATACATAAAACAGTGAGCTAAAGCCTAGTGAATAACAACTTTGTAAAGGGGTTATGAATGATGTCCTCATAGTATTGAAAATAGTCAATTATCATCCGTGAATCAGTTTCTCATTTCAGAATCATATTGCAATCATAGCAGTCATATGTGGTATATCCATTAGCAGAACAGTACAATAGGTCTTAAAAGACCGAATAGTCATATTTGATGGCCATCAATACTGTAAACAGTAGTTCCAATATTTGAAACTGACAGAGATCTCTGTAATAGTAGCAGTAACAGTAACAGTAACAGTAATAGATGTTATAGATGCCATGAATACGTTTCACAAATACGACAATCATTCATTCAGTTAGAAATCATTATTCAGAAATTAACATATTGTAAGTCAGAAGATACTTAAAATTTGAACATATCTTTACATGGTTGTTACTCATAGTTGGCTTCCTGAATCACGTGGCTAGAGTGCGGCATCTGACCTACATACACATATTCAAGCACAACATTTCAAAACACATTCAATTTGTTCAATTGGTTCTTAAACCTATTCGGTTCATTTGTTACGTGCTCATTTAGTTATTTCGATTTGTTCTTTAATTTCTCTTGTGCTCATGCTATGTATATGGATGTGAAATACACACAAAAACCATGCAAATGGAGACCCGGAAGTCAGAAAAACGGAGAGAAAACGAAACTAAGTTTGCCTTGAAAACTGCACGTGCGGGAGCACTAGCCGTTTGTGAGGAACCACCACCGCATGTGTGCTCGCACATGCAATTAAAGCAGTGGCAAAACTGGAACAGGGGAGGTTTGGCTGCACGTGGCCTCAGGTCGCATGTGCGGTCAAGGTTAAAATTCAATCCGAAAATCTGTTTAAACTTTGGATTTCAACCTCTTCAAATTAGGGTTCAAATTTATGTATTTACAACTCAAAAATCCTTAAAAACAAATTTGAATATGGATTCCCAACATTAAATACAAATCATTACTTTAAATACAACTCAAATATCCAATTAAAGATCGCATTCTTTGGAAAAAAATCATAGAATCATGAACGTAACTTTAAGAGATTCAACTTAAGCTTATATATAGAAATTCCTTTGAAATCATGAGAGGCCATGCAAGATAACAAGTTTGTGTTCATGATTTTCATGAACTTATGCTATGCATGCTCAAATCTTGAACTAATTCCTGTTATTCCTCTATTTTATGTTTATATAGGTTCTCAACTCTAAACTTATCCTTAAAACTCTTAAATAACCATGAATCCATTCAATTTAAGCTTTAGTCTTTCAAGATGATGAGCGTATAAGCCCTAATTTCATGAAATTAGCAAGAAATTCTTAGCTTAAAGGATTGATTTATGAAAATTTTGCTTGATTTCTCCTTTTTCCCCTTATTTCCTTATTCTTCTAGATTTCTTTAGGGTTTTCTCTTTTTCTCTCAAGTTTTTTACTCCAACAATATGTACTCCATCTCTCACTTAGCTTCTTTTTTCTTTATTTACATTGATAAGTAGAAGTGTATTTAGTCACTAGTTTAATATAGTACCTAAATTATATTTAGGCTAGTCATTCATATTAATCAAATTTAAATCACATGATGTTCTTAATTAAATCATCAAAAATCTACTTTAATTTCAACTAAACTTAAGCATCCTAATGTGAATTAGGCTCTAACTCTCTATCCAAATATTTAATTTTCATGCATATAAATTACTGATTCAGATAGGTTCAATTCATATCCTAACCATATCTGTTCACAATATCACATTTCATTTCATACATAACACATAATAGCCCATAAACACATCATCAATGCAAATCATATGATTAACTTAATTAATTAAGGAGGTGGTTGTCATAAAAACCATTACTTCTCCCTTGTCCATTACCATGAAATGCAACCTCAGTCACTTCAGGGAATGAAGCAGAACTAGTTGGACGAGATAGATGATTTCTCAATAATAATTTATTAGCTTGTTCAGCCACAAGAAGGCATGAAATTAGTTCAGAGTACTTTGAAAAATGACGCTCTTTATATTGCTGCTGCATGAGCACATTATTAGCGTGAAATATGGAGAATGTTTTTTCAAACATATCTTCTTCAATAATTTTTTCTCCACATAATTTTGATCGAGAGATTATTTTAAATAAAGCAGAGTTGTACTTACTAACTGAATTATAATCATGCAACCTCAAGAGTAACCAATCATAATGGGCTATTGGGAGGATTACGGTCTTCTAATGTTCGTATCTTTTCTTCAAATTATTTGACAGAATTAGTGGATCTTTTACCGTGAGGTACTCATTTTTTAATTTTTCTTGGAGATGATAGTGAATGAATATCATTGCATTTGCGCGATCCTGTAGGGATGCTTCATTTTCATGTTTAATGGTATCTCCAAAATTCATTACCTCAAGGTGGATCTCAATATCAAGAATCCAAGATAAATATTTTTTTTCCAGAAATGTCAACAACTGAGAATTCCAATTTTAAAAATTTTGACATGATTACTAAATTTAACAAAAATAATATATTTAGTATCACGTAAATATACTAAGGAAATATAAAATTAGTTTTAGAATTCATTTATACTTACGACAATCACGCAAGAGTTTTGTCTTCTTAGCTGGCTAGAATCTCGTACTGATAATATATCATAAAACTACAGAAAATAAAGAAGGAAGAATCACAATGGAAGAGGAAATAAATAACCACACATGTAATACACCATTTTTCTATATCTTTATTACCATGCAAACTTATATATTTATAGGTGATAAAACCTTCACTATTTACCATTATTTATCACACCATGTAGTTTACCACATGGTATATCACACTTCCCACATGGTAAAACTTTCTGCTATTTCTATTTTGATCCAAAACTCATTAAAGTTTCAATTGTATTTCTTTTGATACTTATACAAATATTTCATAACAAAAATTAAAAAAAAAAATCAATTTTAAAAAATTAATCATAAGCAGATGAGGTGAATCATTTCTTTTTTTTTTTTTCAACCACTTTCATCTTTTTAGAAAAATAAGAACAAAAATAATGATTTGCTTATCAAATTTATTTAATCCGAATTTATCCAAATGAATTTGAAGAGGAGACTCACTTACACCCGATCTTTTTCGAAGGGAGACTTAGCTTTTGTTTGGAAAGTAAGTTGATTTTTTAACTTTTTAATTTTTTTGATTATTTTAGCCTGAGACTAAAAAGCATGGTTTGAGAAGGGCTTTGATTTTTTGGCTTTTTTGTTAAAAAAAATATAATGATTATGAGTTGGATGTGTTGTTTTGTTTTATTAGGTTAAAAAGTTTATTTTATTTTTTGTAACTATTTTAGCCGAAAAAAATCCTCAAACCCAACTTTCCAAACATAGGCTCAAGCATCATTTGACAATATCACTTTTTAATTTAAAAGTTAAAAAGCTAACAGCTTATATCAAAAAGTTAGAAATTTTATTTTATTTCTATTTTTTATACATTTTTTTATAAAAATTAAAAAAATATTCCAAATATATTAATTTATTTACATTATATTTTAATAAAAAAAACTAAAAATTATTAAAAAAAAATATGTTACCAACGATGCCTCATTTGAGCAACTAAACAAATTCGGTTAATGTAAAAACAATAACTTCATACAGCAGCAACGCATAATACATTATATACACGCATACATATATACGAACTTTTAACCAAGACAACATTTACGCTATGTTTGGAGTTGTTGATTTGGAGAAAAAAAAAAAAAGAAATGAAATGAAATGATATGTATTTTTTATATTTGTTTAGATAATTTAAGTAGAGAGAAATAAAAAGAAATAAAGAGAAGTGGAGAAAAACTCATTTCTCTTATAAGTCTCATTTTCAATCTTTCCAAAAGTAAAGAGATTGGAAGAGAAAAAAAAATCATTATTTTCATAATACCAATTTTATTCTTATAAAAATAAAAAAAATAAAATAATTAAAAATATAAAAAAATTAATTTGATAATATAATATAAAATAATTTATTTTCTTTTTTCTCTTAATGAAACTTGATCAAACAAGAATAAAAAGAAACCACAATCATTTTATTTTATTTTATTTTATTTCTTTTCTTTTCTTTTGTTACTTAAATAATCATTCCTTTACTTTACTTCACTTTACTTTTCTTTTCTACGTTCCCAAACATAGTGTTAACGTGGACCTAGAGAGAGAGAGAGAGTGTGTGTGTGTGAGAGAGAGAGAGAGAGAGAGAGGAGATAAAGCAGCTATGGCAATCCTAACAATGATATCTCCACCTCCATTGCTCTCTCCTCCTCCTTCTTCTTCTTCTTCTTCTTCTTCCACCTCCATTTTTCCATCATCGTCGTCATCATTCAAGCCCATTTTCGCTTCCCACTGTCTCAGCCGTCCGATCTCCATCGCCTCTCACCTCTGCGCACCCAAGACCCCAACGAGGCTCGACAAATCAGCTCTCACTGTCGCCGAAGCGGCCTCCGATGACGAGCTCTGGGCCACATCTTGTCTTCGCATTCGATCCTTCTACGATTTCCACCAATCCTCTTTCGGCATCGAAGTGAGTGTTAGTTGACTTTTGTTGGGTTTCGATTGTTTTCCTTGATTGTTCTCTGAATTTGTAACACCATTTTGATAATCAATTTGATTGTTTGTGTTTGTTCTTTGTTGTTATATTTGGAGTCAGAGTTGAATTTGGGGGTATAAAAGCAAATTATTTAATCCAAGCATGGTTTTTGTATCATTTCCTTTATGCATCTAAGAAAATGAAAATTGTAAATTAAGGTTTTGGGATGAAACCAAAAAAATGCAGAGGCACAATCGCAATTTAAAGAGAAAAACAAAACTAAATTAAAAACACATAATTATGCTTCTACTAACACTATGTCATTGTCTGGTAACCTGGGACAGAAAGGAAAAGAAATGTTTATCTAAGTTATGAGAGAAAAGAAAAGAAAAGAAAAATTTGTAATTTATCTTCCTCTTGTTTCGATAGATAGGAGAGAAAAGAAAAAGAAATGAAATGATTTCTCTCTTATCTTGTTTGATTAATCGATATAAAAGGGAAAAAAGAAAAAGAAAAAAAAGAAGAAATGAAATGATATCATGTTATTTACCAAATTAACCTTTTATAAGAGTTAGTCTTTTTGTTTCTTCTATATTTGAAAGGGTAATATTGGTATTACAACAAAATAGCATTTAGTTGATTTCTTTTCTCTCCCAATCTCTCCGCTTTTGGAGAGATTCAAAATAGGAGTTGTGAGAGAAGTGAGTTTTTCTCCATTTTTTATGATTTCACTCCATTTCTTTCCTCTTTACTTATCCAAACGGGTGATATGGACCAAGAAAAATTGATTTCTTTTCTCTGCTCCCCAAATCACCCAATCCAAACGGGCTGTAAATGAGTGAAAGAATAAGGATCCTCCTCCCTTCTTGTTTATGGGAAATTATTAGGTAGTCTCGGACAACCATGTGCCATTGCCTACATAGTGCTCCGGCAAATGTAGAACTGCAAAATATACTGTGGATCATTTTTGTCTCCCAATTACCTATCGAATGTGGGTCAACATTGTCCTACCTGTGAAATTTTCCACATGTTATTGATTGGGAGTACCATGTGAACAGTGCTGCGTGGTATTCCGTGGCTAACTAATAATTTTCCCTTATTTGTAGGCAAAGGGTAGAGACTCTAGTTCTCGTACAACTAGGAAAATCTATACATGTTGGACCCTTTATTAATCCAACCCAAACATATGTACAAAGCCCAATAATTGTATACGAGCTTGCAAAATGCAGGGCACACCCAACAATGGGAACACAATTTTCATGTTGAATTGACAAGGGAATAGAGTACTCAATTTTGAATTGATTGATATAATGCTAGTTAAAGGATGGATATTTTAAATTTGGGATATTGAAACTAAATTTTTTAAATAAGTGAATGCTATAATTTATAAATAGTAGTGGGGTTAGCGGTGAAGTCATTGATTCCTAATGCCTAGTTATTATTGGTAGAGTTTCCCTTCCCAATCATGGTGCACATAAGCTTAGAAAAGTTGGACAAAGCCAGTTGTTGAATTCTTTCATTGTCGGAAAGCTTGTGGTCATTCTGTTTTATATTTGTGTATGCTTGTTAAATAGTCAATCTTGTGTTCAATCGTTTGCTTGCACGCCCTTTTTTCTGAAACACTAATGAAATCGTGGTTTCCTATTGTGGGAATTTGGATTATGGTGGGGCCACTAAGAAATGGTAATGGTGTTGTCATGTGGAATTGAACAAATCACTTCTAGGGATCATGCAAGCCAATCTTAACCTTGCCAAAACTGTTATGGTGCCCAATCATGCATTGGCTATATCAAGACCTGATACAAGGGTGAATGAGCCAATAGTGAAAGTGAGTGCATACATGTGGCCTTCCATTCTTTATTTTTATTTTTTTGAACTGGGAACTAAAAGGTAAAATTCTACATTTTGTGTTTGCTTTTTTTTTTCTCTTAGTTATCAAGCATGTTTTAAAATAAAGTTGTGCATGTTTTTTGGGACTTATTGAATTTAGCTATTACTCTTGATTATCTCTTTTGGTTTATTTATTTCCTTTGAAAGAAAGAAGATTACAAGAATAAATGAGGGAAACTACATAAAGCATCTTCTGTTCAAGTTGGCGTCCACAGTCAAATCTAATTCTTTAAAATTATTTAATATAATACCGATGGTATGTTCTCCTTGTCAAGTTCTGTTAGGATCATAAGAGGTGCTTGGCCGAGCGTGAGTTTGAAGCGTTAAAGGAACGTGTTGCTGGGAAGAGGACAGGCTTTAGAAGAGTTTCCTGCATAAATGCCACACTTCCATTATCACATTTATTAAGCATTTCAGATGATTTATGCACTGCATGCAAGGTATGACTATTTCCATTATTTTTCTTATTTGTGACTTTTAGTTCCCATAATGTCTTCATAGCCATTCTGGTGGACTTTGTACATCCTGGATAGAGGTACCAATGAAAAGAGTTCAACTGTTACTGGCACTAGAGTGGGGGTTTGAATATAAACATCTAAACCTAACACATCCCTATGGAGATTATGACCTCAACTGACATAGGATTTTTCTTATGTGCAATTTGGTTTTAGTTGAGAATACTGAGAAGTTCATGAATGAATTTTACTAAAAGGATTCCTTGTCCTCGTGTCTGTACCTACCTCCATCTAGTACAATTTTCTCTGTTTTCTACTTGGAGGAGAAGACAATTTTTGTTGAGCATATGAGAAACAGGGCTCATAATTTTTTCTTTTATCATTTTAGAAACTCTGAACATAGTCAATGCTTCATAATTTCTGTTGTGTTGCTACCTGATGTAGTATTCTGGAATTTATTGACGTTGTGAAGTCTGCTCAGTTTCATTACTAGTGGAATTTACATTACTAAACTTTAGATGCGTGTGTTCAATGTTCATTCATACATATATACGTATATGTATAGAAACATACTCACCAACTAAATTATCTAAGCACAAATTTAGTCCAAATTAGTTAATCTAAAACAAGAATTTAATTGGTTAATAACACATAATTGAGATGGGTAATACATGGAGTATTACAAAATGTTTGTGTGCATTTTTGTATGTTTTACTTGTGTGTATATGTATCACTTTTCATTCTATGATGGAATTGTCTAATTTTCTTGTTCTCTTATATCTTCTTTAGTTTGCAGAGAATGGAGAAGATCGGGTAGTGGTGGGGACCCTTGATCTTAATCAGTGTCTGAGGCTTCCAGATGAAATAACTGGAATGAAGCCACAGGTATTGAATTTCAGCACTAAATTCTTAATTTTTATGCATATGATTCACTAATTTAGTAAGAGAGTTTAATCAATGCATTTAAACTTGTAAAGGGATTAACATTTGTCTTATGAGATCCATTCCATAATGGATGTTTATTTCTCCACATTAGGAATCTTCTTTCTGGATTAGAACCTGCCTATCTAAGATGTCTTGGGATAAATAGGGAAAAAAATCATCAAGTTTAAGGGTCAATGTGAGAAAAATATAATAGTTAAGAGGTCAATCTGGGAAAGTAACTTTTATCATATTTCCATTTAAAATGCCATGTGGTAGCTGACAGGGTGCCATGTGGTGGCTGATATGTCATTTTCCATTATAAATTGGATGGACATTTTGACCTTGGGGCAAATCGGGAAATTAGATAGTTTATGAACCTAATTGGGAAAATAAACTTTAACGATGAAAGTGAGAAAATGCTAATACTTTAATTGGGCAAATTGTAAGTTACACTTTTTTATGCCCTAAGATAGTGATTCATCTCTAAATGTATTTTATTTTTTTACTTGGTAGAATTTTGTATCAAGATGATTCTGCTTGATTATGGGCTTTTCTTAATAGGGGATTGGTGCTGATTTTGCAAGAGCATATCTAAGCAATGTATGTGTTGCCAAGGAACTGCAAAGAAATGGATTGGCTCATGCTCTAATTGTGAAATCAAAGATGATTGCTGAAGATTGGGGTAACAACTTCATACAAACTTTCTTTATCGTTAAATTTGCACATTTTTTTTTTTTTTTTGGACAAGTATAATTGCTTGCAAGACTGTGTTCGTCTTTTTATCGTTGTTTCTGTTGATAACCTATACAAATAAAGGATGTAATTACATTATCAAATTTAGTGACATAAAAGCATCAGAACGGTTAAAACTAGTTGTTTATTGTCATAAAAGTTGCAATAAATCAATAACTGGAATGATCTGGTTGACATGTTTATGAGCTTGCGAAGGTCTTCATTGCTCATGAATTTTTCATTTCGGCTTTTATTGATTTAGTAAGAGAAGTTGCATAGTAAATCAGATATTATATCTCATCTTGTTGTATCTAATATTTATTCTTGGATGTTTACTTTTTACAAACAGCATTGCTACTTTCAAAAAGAAAGAAAAATGAAAAAATATATAATGCTTTGTTTGTTTTGGTGAAAAATGTTTTCCATGTAACACATTTTTCATAAATTGTCTTTTTCATATATGTTTTCTTGTGTTTAGTTGCAAACTTGCAACCCTGAAATGATGGTCCTAGTGGTTGCAGTAGTGAGGTGTGGTAGTGATGGCATTAATGGTGGTTGTGTGGTGGTGGCGGCAACGGCAGTGGTGGTGGTGAAGGTAGTGGTCAGTGGGGGTGGTAGGGTGATGGTGGTAGCAGTGGTGGTGATGATGGTGGTTGTTGTGTTGTGGTGGTGGCGGTGGTGATAGTGGTGGTAGGGCATCAGCAACTGTGGTGGGATAGAGGTAGTGACAATGGCAGTGCCATTGGTAGACCTTACATCTGTCTCATTAGGTCCTTTACTCCAAATAAGCTCATTTTTCGTTGATTGTGAAGAAAATTTCATTGACTTTGATTTTTTTATTTTTTTATTTTTTTATCGGCAATCAAGGTAAAAACCTTACATCGAATATCAATAATAAAAAAAAAACCCTGGTAAGTGCTATCAGCATCAAAGCTATCCACAAAGCATTGACTTTGTTTTTTTATCATACAAAACACTAAATGTGGACGACTTTTTTCTCCATAACAAACGGAGTGTAAGATTATGCTCTTATTGTAATTAATTATGCAACTCATGTCTAGTAGACGATGGTAACATGAACTTGTCTAACTTAGAGTTTTGACTTGCTAGTTTTTCTACATATATTTATTTGAAAGTTATATGAAATTTGCAAATTATAATTCTGTACGACTAGGGGCAAATGCATTGAATTTTGGCAACCACACTTGAGGAAATTGTAGAAATTTATAGGCATGCATTTCTGTGTATGGCCTACAAAGTTTAACATTATGATTATGAATCATTTTGTTCATGCTGTTTGAAATTTCACAGTGATAACTTTCATTTGAATATAGAATACCTTCAGCTTTTGGATAGCTATAGCTAGTATGAAGAACACTTGTCCACCCTTGTAATGAGCTGTTCTTAATTCTATTTTTTGTGCTTTGTATCTCTATTGTGCGAACGAATAGGCCTCTTGTTCCCATGCAATTGGCTGCATGCAGAGTTATTTTGATCACTTGGTTATAACTTTAACCCAGTCTTTGGTTTGGTTAGAACTCTAATCCAATCTTTTGGACTTTTTTTACAGGAATATCTGATTTATATGTCCATGTCACCATTGACAATGAACCAGCAAAAAAATTGTACATGAAAAGTGGTTTTGTTTATGAAAATGATGAACCTGCATGGCAAGCCAGGTTTCTGGATCGGCCACGGAGGATTCTTTTATGGACCGAGATCCCTAACACCCTTGACTTGTAATATTACAATATCAAGTAGTCACAATATGTCTTACTTTGTAAATTCTTGACGGTTTAGTCTTCCATACATACATGTCCCTGTTTCACATTCGAAATTGCAAATTAAGCTTCCAAACTTCGCGGTGTCTTCGTGTTATGATTAGATTTGCTCTAGAAATAGTTTCTTGATGTAGCTGTTGTGTGATGAATTGCTCCTTTTTCCAATAAAATCTGAGGTTGGGAGTCATTGTTTTGTGTCCCATTAAAAGGGTTAATCTTTGTTTTTTTTTGGTATGATAAAATGTTACTGAGTTGAACTTTTATGATATTTAAATTGGATTCGGATCTGACTAACTTTATTTTAAGTTCTTCAATTTGGGTTCTTGAAAATTTAGTTATTTATTTGTTTAGGGACTGATGACCTTGAAGGATTGTCCACTTTTCAGGTAAATTGTCCATTTTTTGTATTGGCAATATTAAGAAAAATGTTAGAAATTTCAAATATTATATCAAATGTCTTACATGCATGTAAGATCCACACCATGTGGGTTTCATGTGAAATATTTGGTAGAATATTTGATAAAATATTTAGAGTCGCTAGTATTACTCTGATATCAATTTGTTGGGTTGCAAGGAATAGCCAAAACTTTGCAAGCTGTATGGGGAGGAAACATATAGTGAAAAAACCTTATTGCATTCCCAATGTGGGCCGGATGTGGATTTGTAATAAGAAACGTAATTTGAAGATGAGTTGGGTTCTTTCACGTTGTGATTTTAATTTGAGGGAGCATTTAGATTTAGTAGGTTTATTTTGAGATTAATTTCGGTAATACAAATTGTTAACTTTGTAGAATCTGTTAGGTAGAATATTTATGTAAAAAGTTAAGATGATTCGATATTGATAATTATATATTTGAATCAAATTTGTATTACAAAAAATAGATGGTTATTCTTCGAATTATATTTATTGTTCATTTTTTTAAACAAATATGATTCAAACATGTAGTTACCGATATTTAACCATCTTAATTTTTTGTATGAATATTCTAATTAACAAGTTCTAAAAGATGAATGGTTTAGATCACCAAAATCGGTTAAAAAATTAGCTTACCAAACTCCAACGTCCTCTCAAGTTGAGATGACAATATGAGAGAAGCTAAAACCTTTGAAGATTTATGTCACCTCATGGATGCAAAATACTTTTGGGAAATTAACAAAAAAAAAAAAAATTAATGTTTGACCCTTGTAATAAAATAAATTATGAAAATTTTAATTTTGTCAATTTAAATTTTAATATTTTGCTTTCTTTTTAATTTAAACTATCTGTTTATTTTCGTCAAATAAAACTGACCGTAGGAAAATGTCTATTGATGAAAAACAGATAATGAAAAACGAAAGTTTAAGGAAAACAAATCTATTTGAATACAAAATATTTTTCACATTTAAAATATGAAAAATATTTTGTGGACTAAACTTTTACTAATGTCACCATATTATTATGTTTGAATGAATTACACCATTAGTCCTTATAGTTTAAGCAAAATGTCATTTTAGTCTCCGTAATTTTAATTTGAATAATTTGGTCTCTACATTTCTAATTTTGTTGCAATGTGGTGCCTCCGTCACTTACTGTTAAAATTTAGAATGGAAAAAAAAATATGTAAAATTATAAAGTGAAATTAAAAACATACTAAAGGAACCACCATTAAAATATATTCATTACACCAATAATCCCTATATATTTTTTAAATTTCACTTTGGTCCTCTAGTTTTGCAAATAATTTTTTTCGGTTCAAAATATCCTTAGAATTTAGAACAAAAAAAAGAAAAAAGAAAAATCACCAATAAAATTAAGGGATCAAAGTGAAATTGAAAACATAGTAAAGGGACCACCAATATAATATATTCATTGCACCAATAATCCATATATATTTTTGTGAATTTCACTTTAGTCCCTCTAATTTTAGGCATATTTTTTTTATTCAAAATATTAACACATGACGGAGAGGTCACATTACAACAAAATTGAAAGTGTAAGGATTAAATTGTTTAAATTAAAACTACAAAAACTAAAGTGACCATTTACTTCCTATCTTGAAAAGTAGGTTAAAAGTCAACTTTTTAGCTTTTTTTTTTTTTTTTTTTTTTAAATGTGTAAAAAATATATAGATGTGATGTGACTTAAAAAAGTCAAAAAAACTAAAAAGTTGATTTTTAACTCAGATTGCCAAAATATTAAACCAAAGGGATTAACGATATAATTTATTCTCTTTTCTTTCTTTTTCTTTTTTTTTTAATCAAAAAATTTCTACAATAAAAAATAAAAAATACCATCTCAAAACTTTTGCTTCGTGGTTTCTAATACAAAAAAAATATTTTTGTTTTACGAAAACAATTAAGGGGTTTTTATTGATAAATCTCATTTAGAAGTGTTTTAACTTAAGAAGTCCATAAAGAAATTTTTTAACTCATTTAGTCCTATGTATGTATAGTTTTATTTCATAAAGTCTTTTTTTCTTGATTTATACTATTTTCTTGGATACTTATGCCCTTATATTTAATTTTGATATCCTTATAAATATTTTTTGAACGGTTAGCAATTTTATGATGACATTTACATTAATAGGAGTGTAAAATTGGCCCGCGTCCCGTGGCGGCGCGAAACCCGCCCGCGGCCCATGAGCGGCCCAGGGCGGGCCCGATCCGACCCGTTGACAATGTGAATATTCACATTGACATGTTAACATTCACATTAATAGGAGTGTCAAATTGGCCCGCGTCCCGTGGCGGCGGGAAACGCTCCCGCGGCCCATGGGTGGCCCGCTCCGGCCCGTTGACAATGTGAATATTTACATTGACATGTTAACATTTACATTGATAAGAGTATAAAATTGGCCCGCGGCCCATAGGCGGCCAAAAGCCCACCTGCCGCCCTGGGCGGGCCCGGCCCGGCCCGTTGACAATGTGAATATTCACATTGACATGTTAACATTCATATTGATAGGAGTGTAAAATTAGACCGCGCCTCGTGGCTGCCTGCCGGAAACCCTCCCACGGTCCATGGGCGGCCCAGGGAGGCCCAGGGCGGGCCCGACCCGGCCCATAGACAATGTGAATATTCACATTGACATGTTAACATTCACATTGATAGGAGTATAAAATTGGCTAGCGGTCCAGGGCGGGCCCGACCCGGCCCGTTGACAATGTGAATATTCACATTGACATGTTAACATTCACATTGATAAGAGTATAAAATTGGCCAGCGGCCCAGGGCGGGCCCGACTCGGCCTGTTAGCAATGTGAATATTCACATTGACATGTTAACATTCACATTAATAGGAGTGTAAAATTAGCACGAGCCTCGTGGCTGCCCGAAACCCGCCCACGGCCCATGGGCGGCCCAGGGCGGGCCCGACCCGGCCCATTGACAATGTGAATATTCACATTGACATGTTAACATTCACATTGATAAGAGTATAAAATTGGCCAGCGGCCTAGGGCGGGCCTGACCCAGCCCGTTGACAATGTGAATATTCGCATTGACATGTTAACATTCACATTGATAAGAGTATAAAATTGGCCAGCGGCCCATGGCGAGCCCAACCCGGTCCGTTGACAATGTGAATATTCACATTGACATGTTAACATTCACATTAATAGGAGTGTAAAATTAGCCCGCGCCTCGTGGCTGCCCGAAACCCGCCCACGGCCCATGGGCGGCCCGGGGTGGGCTCGGCCTGGCCTGTTGACAATGTGAATATTCACATTGACATGTTAACATTCACATTGATAGGAGCGTAAAATTAGCCCATGCCTCGTGGCTGCCCGAAACCCGCCAATGGGCCATGGGCGACCCGGGGTGGGCCCGGCCTGACCCGTTGACAATGTGAATATTCACATTGATATGTTAACATTCACATTGATAGGAGTGTAAAATTAGCCCGTGCCTCGTGGCTGCCCGAAAACATTCACATTGATAGGAGTGTAAAATTAGCCCGTGCCTCGTGGCTGCCCGAAACCCGCCCACGGCCCATGGGCGGGCCGAGCCCGGCCCGGCCTGTTGACAATGTGAATATTCACATTGACATGTTAACATTCACATTGATAAAAGTATAAAATTGGCCAGCGGCCCAGGGTGGGCCCGACCCAGCCCGTTGACAATGTAAATATTCACATTGACATATTAACATTCACATTGATAAGAGTGTAAAATTAGCCTACAGCCCGTAGGCGGCCCGAAGCTCGACCGCAGCCCGAAGTTTGCCCGCGGCCTGGGGTAGGCCCGGCCCGGCCCGTTGACAATGTGAATATTCACGTTGGCATGTTAAAATGCACATTGATAGGAATGTAGAATTGGCCCACGGCCCGTGGGCTGCCCGAAGCCCGCCCACGGCCCGGGGCAGGCTCGTTTCGGTCCGAGCACGAGCATGTCCGAGACCCTAGGTTAGGGCCTAAGTCATCACTTTGAAGCCCCGCCCGGCCTATCGGCCCACTTAAGGCCCATTCAAGGCTCGGTCCGAGGCCCAGCCCGCCCGAGGCGCAATGTATTTTTTTGTGGAAAATAATAAAATTTTGGTAGAAAAAATTAAAAAGAATTAAAAAAAAATGGCTAGGCCCGCCCAAGTCTGACCTAAGTTCGAGGCTAGGCCCAGGCCCACCGGCCCGACCCGAGGCTCAATCCATCGGCCCATCCAAAGCCCGAATACCCTTGTGCCAGGGCTAGGGCCTGGGCCTAATTTTTTTGGCTCGTGGGCCAGCCCAAGAAAGGCTCATTTGGGCCCAGGCTCGAGCCTAGTCCGAGACCCTAAACTAGGGCTTGGGCCATCACATTGAAACCCGGCCCGGCCCAGTTAAGGCCCATTCAAGGCTCGGTCCGAGGCCCGGCTCGCGCCGAGGCCTAGTGTCTTTTTTTGTGAAAAATAATAAAATTTTGGTAGAAAAAATTAAAAAGAATTAAAAAAAAATGGCCAGGCCCGCCCTAGGCCGCCCACGGGCTGTGGGCGGGTTTCAGGCAGCCACGAGGCACGGGCTAATTTTACACTCCTATTAATGTGAATATTAACATGTCAATGTGAATATTCACATTGTCAACGGGCCGGGCCGGGCCAGGCCTGTAGACACCCCATTTTTGACCGTACATTGACGGTGTGAACATTTACATTAGCGGTATTTTGGTAATTATGTCACCCATAGGACTTATTGAAACGTAAGAAGATAATGTGAACTAAATGGAACATAAGTAGATGAAAATGGTATTTTGGTCTTCTTATCTCAAATAGGACCTAATGGAATAGTCAAAAAGAATATGGGTTTGATGGAATAAAACTCTTAGAAAGTGGATTTATCAAAAATGCTCCCAACAATTAAGATCTGGTACAAATAAAATCACAATTTTGACTTGGAATAGCAAGAAAAGAAACCAGACGAAACAACGCAGTTTTACATTTTGCGTACCAATCGAATGGAAAATTCTATTGTATATGAAATTGGCTTTCATGTATGGAACCTAAAATATATATATATATATATATATAAACTATTAGATTTAAATAAGACGAATAATAGTCATTAGATGAGTAGATACTAAAATTAAGTAGAAAAAATAAGGTGATTTTTAAAAAAGTAGAGTAGTTTTAGTTAATTTTGAAATTAAAAAAATGATGCTAAATTATTATTTGTTGCAAACATACTTATTATTTGCTATTCACTCACTTCTTATTTGTTATGAATAAATTTACTATTTAAAA